AGAATAGAATAGAATAGAATAGAATAGAATAGAATAGAATAGAATAGAATAGAATAGAATAGTTGGATTGGACCTTGGAGATCTTCTAGTCCAAGGCCAGCATGAAGATGTTAAAAGAAAACAGGATGTTACCTCAGCTGGGATCTTGCAGTCAAAACCCAGTATGGACAATGTATATAAAATGGACAATGCATGTAAAAACTAGAAGATTTTAAGACGAGATTGGATAGCCATTTATCCAAAAGGGTATAGAGTCTCCAGCTTGAGGAGGGAGTTGGACTAGAAAACCTTCAAGATCCCTTCCAACTCCCTTGTTCTCTTATTTCCATTATAAGACCATCAAGTCTTCCTTGCATTCCTTGATCACAGTATATTTTCTAGAAATTTGTTTAAAGTAATTTGAATATGAAAACAGTTGTTTTGCAAATCAAATCACCAAAACAGTAATTCTTCATTAAACCGATCAAGTCCCTCTTACTCTTTTAATTTCTCAACTGTCTGTTGAAAATAGAAACATTCTGCTTTTTTTTTTTTAACTCAACTATCTAATACTTAAGGACTTTTGAGGCACAAGAAGTTTTCTATCTTCTACCGATTCTGTACCTTTTTTCTTCTACTATATATTGAATTATCTTTCAAAAGTGACATTCCTGTTACATGAGCTAAATCAAATATTGTTTACATTCCATTCCTTACTTTTGTAGAATCACTCTGCACCTCTAGAAATGATCCGAATACTTCCAAAGTGTAACATTTTGATAAGAAATACTGCATTTCTCTTAATTATCCAATAAGTATTAAGTATTCAAAAGCAACTTCCTCGGCTGATCCCGCTTTTTTTTAGATTAATCATTGATGAACCCTCAAGTCACTGACATCTAGTGGCTGTCCAATTTTTTGCATTCCAGAATGGGTCCCCGATCCAACTAAACTCCTGTAAACAGCCAAAATCCTTGGTCATCCTACAAATTCAGATGGATGGTGCATTTATGATGGATACCACTTTATAGCTATTTAGGGCATTCTCTCCTTGACTATGTCTAGAACTTTTTTTCTGACAATGTTGTGATAAACTAAAACTAAGGAGAAATTTCCTGTCAGTGAGAACAATTTGTCAAAGGAACAGCTTGCTTTCAGAAGTCATGAGTGCTCCCTCACTGGAAGCTTTTAAGAAGAGCCTGGATAGCCATTTGTCCAAAATGGTATAGGGTCCTCTGCTTGAGCAGAGGTTGAACTAGAAGACCTCCAAAATCCCTTCCAACTATATTATTGTATTATTCAAAAGAGGTGCCTCTGTATTGTGTACCTGTTGGAATTCATTGTTGGGATGTATTTTTATGCAACAACTACAGTAGTATTTAGCCAGTAGATGGCAGCGTTTACAAGTTTGGATCTATGCTATATACTGGGTGCTCTTTTGTTTTAAGTAGTTTCCTGTTTCTTGATACAGTTATATAGTTGAGCAGTAAAGCACATGGTGACTGTGCTCTTTGTTTGCTCTATGTGGTGCTTTATATAAACAGAATTTCTAACAGTACCCTTTGCAGATTCATGTGGAAAACGTTTTTGTTTTCTTCCAGGCCTTTGTCATTTCAGTCACTTCGGATTTTATTCCACGCCTTGTCTACCAATATGTGTACAGTCACAACGGAACCATGCACGGCTTCATCAATCACACCCTGTCGTATTTCAACGTCAGTGACTTTAAGGCTGGAACCCAGCCAGAAAACTCGCCATTTGAAAACGAGGTTTCATTCTGCAGGTAAAGCAGCTGCCTTTAATTTTTGTTGTGACTGTCAACCTCTGGGGAGATCAATCCAGCTGCAGATGTTCAGTCCTTCAAACAAGGGAGTCATTGTACTGCCAGTCAAAGAAGGCAGATATAAGAACCAACATTCTTATGGTCTTGTTTTGATACAGGAAAGTCCTCAACTTACAACCACAATTGAGTGCAAACTTTCTGTTGCTAAGCATGAAGTTCTTCAGTGAGTTTTTGCCCCAATGCCCCACTTTCTTGCCACAGGTTGTTAAGTCAATCACAGCAGTTAAGTTAGTAACACAGTAGTTAAGCAAACCGGGCTTCCCTATGGACTTTGCTTGTCAGAAGGTCGCAAAAGGGGACCACACGACCCCCTGGGGACACTGCAACCATCATAAATATGAATCAAGCACCTGAAGTTTGATCACTGCAAGTCTGTAAGTTTGAAAAACAGTTATAAGTCACTTTTTTCAGTGCCATTATAATTTTGAATTATTAAGTATTCAAAAGCAACTTCCTCAGCTGAAAAGAATAGTTGTAAGTTGAGGACTACCTGTATTCCAGAGCAGTTCTTCACCAGACTGGATAAAGAAGCGCTACATTTTATTATAGATGGTGATTTAAAGAATCTCTTGCATTTTTCTTTTAAAAAATAAATAAATAAATTGAGAGCCCAACATTTTTAGTGGACTATGGGGCTATATTTTTCCCTTCTGAGGCTTCCTACCTGGAACTCCTCATTTGCCTTTTAAATAGATATTGATTAGTTTTAAATTTCTAGAAACTCATATTTCCGACAACCTTACTTGGTCGGTCCACACTATGGCCACTGCAAAGAAGGCCCAACAGTGCCTGCACTTTCTGAGGTCGCTGAAAAAGAGTGGTCTGGGTGAGAAGTTGCTGGTTACTTTTTACCAGTCTACCATCAAGAGCATTTTGGCATACTGTGTAACAGTGTGGTATGCTGGATGCTCTGCAGTGGATAAGAAGATGCTCCAAAAAGTTATAAACACAGCACAAAAAATCATCAGTTGTTCTCTTTCTTTTCTGGAAGAGATTGCAAAGACCAGACTCCTCTCTAGAACACTAAAAATCTCCACAGACCGTTCTCATCCTGGTCATTCATATTTCAAACTGTTACCATCAGGGAGGGGTTATAGGTGTCTTAAAATGAGGACTAATAGATTAAGAAACAGTTTATTTCCCAAGGCAGTAATTGTCTTGAATCAAACAGTGCATTTGTGATTTAGTCCTATTATTATTTTTATAATTATTTTAATTTTTTTTAAAACTCTGTAGTGTGATTGTGATGTGGTGTTTGGGGCACTGTGCTGGAGTAGCTTTCAAATTTCATTGTATTCGTGGAATGCAATGACAATAAAGGTATTCTATTCTATTAAAATGTCTATCTTGAACGTATCCTACCCCTTCCTCTAGTGTCTCTAAGCTACGTGTGTCTTTGTGTGTCTGGAGGCAGCCATGCTCCCATGTGCAGACACGCTGTCAAGGCACGATATAGTGAACACCTGGCCATTTCATGCACAGTAGCTGGGGTGGAATTGTTTGATTTTTTAAAGAGCCAGAACATGTTAGGACAAATAGCTTTTTGCCCAAAGGGGGGAAAAACCCACTCTTTGCTTTAAACCAAACAATGCAATTTAATTCAGAGTAAATGGGGGCAGGAGGGAAGACCAGTTGGAAAACAGCCTAAAGAATATACAATGGAGTTGTAATAAATAGAAAGGAAGGGTGCATTTTTAAAGTCAAAGAGAAAAGTTCCTCTATTTCAACCTTCAGCTTCCATGTGACTCCCTCAGCCTCTGGCCTGCCCAGCAGCCAATTTTGGAGCAGTTCTTATCTCAACAGGAATTGGTTCCAGCCTGCTGTTCATCTGCTGTTGCAAATTAAGTTTGCTTCCAAGTAGAAGCAAAATTAATTGTATTATTTTCTTCAACCAAACCATTTAATTTAGCCCTCTCTGCTAGCGCCATCAACTTTTGAAGCCATTCATCCCTTGTGGGACTCAAAGCAGAGGTGGGTATTCAGCAGGTTCTGACCAGTTCTGGAGAACTGGTAGCAGAAATTTTGAGTGGTTTGGAATCCTACCTCTGACTGGCCCCGCCCCCATCTATTCTCCGCCTCCCATTGAGTCCCAGCTGATCCGCTGGGTCTTCTTTGGTTGCCCTGCACAGGAGAATGGAGCTGGAAAGCAGGTTAGTGGGGTGGGGAGCGAATGGGGATGTTGCAATATCCTTCCCCTGCCACGCCCACCAAGCCACGCCCACAGAACCGGTATTAAAACGTTTTTGAATCCAACCACTGACTCAAAGTATCCTTCCATATATATTCTGTTTGTGCATATTCTTGCCGATGTCAGCCTATACAGGTAGTCCTCGACTTACAATAGTTCATTTAGTGAGCATTCAAAGTTACAACGGCATTCAAAAAAAGCGAGTTTGTTCCCACTTATAACTGTGGGGCATCCCCCATGTCACGTAATTTAAATTTGGATGCTTGACACTCGACTCATATTTATGACGGTCTCGGAGTCCTTGGGGTCATGTAATTCCCTTTTGTGACCTGTCGACAAACCAGGACAATTGGGAAGCCAGATTCGCTGAACAACCGCAATATTAATTTAACAACTTTGGTGATTCACTTAACAAACATGGCAAGAAAAGTTGTAAAATGGGGCAAAATTTACAAATTTCTCACTTAAGACCATAAATCTTAGGCTCCATTGTGGTCATAATTTGAGATTACCTGTATAGCCTCAAAGTTCTATTTTATTTTTCTTTTATAGTTCTTTATCCATTAAGCCTAAACGAAAAATCTCTGGTTTTAGCTTTCTATTCACCTTTGAGAAGTTTCTGTTTTAAGATGTGAATCCTACTCTAATATTTCTTTGCTTTGTCATGCATCAGTGGTCAAAAGTTCCTTCTTTACATGTCCAAAATTCGTTTGAGGGAGACGTCTACATCACTCGGTGTGCAATGAATGAAAATCATTGCATGTTGAGTATTTATGATGAGCGTTGTTGTCAATTAAAAAGATACTCCTTTGGTCTTTTTAGCTGCCAGAAAAAGGGAGTGGGGGGAAACAGTGCATTCCTTAAGTGCCAAGATAATCACCCTGGCAGCCCAAAGTTGTCGGAGTGCAAGGATATTACTGGAGAGCATGATTGATGACTTTTGTGGATGGAAATGTCCCATTGGAGAATATAAATCCAGGGGTGGGGAGAAGACCAGGGTCAAAGGGGTAATGAATGATGTATTTTAGTATTGGCTGCATCCAACTAACACCAACATGGCCACTTCTAATAAATCAATTTTATTATTTCTGAGAGATGCGGCTAGAGACATGATTTGAATGGGGGTGGATTTGTTGGAGTCCTGACAGCTGTCAGCGGTGGTGGGATTCAAAAATTTTTAGTACCAGTTCTGTGGGTATAGCTTGGTGGGCATGGCATGGCTTGGTGGGTGTGGCTTGGTGGGCGTGGTAGGGGAAGGATCCTGCAAAATCCCCATTCTCTCCCCACCCCACTAACCTGCTTTTCAGCTCCGTTCTCCTGTGCAGGGCAACCAAAGAAGACCCAGCCAATCAGCTGGGACTCAATGGGAGGCAGAGAATAGATGGGGGCGGGGCCAGTCAGAGGTGGGATTTGGCGGTTCTCCAAACTACTCAAAATTTCTGCTACTGGTCAGAACCTGCTGAATACCACCTTTGGTTGTCACCTGCTTTGGCCCTGTCCATGGTTTGCACCAGCTCCATCCTGAGCCCCTGAGTAGTGACCCCCCCCCCCCCCCCGAGAAGAAAAGATGCTCTGGTCTCCTTCAAATGTGTTGTAGAAAGTTAGCACCCACCCCTCTCCTAGAAGAATGAAATATTTTGAGAAATATTAAAAATGCAGAATATTATATTTTCCTGGATGAGAAATGGAGAAACGTGCTCTTGGAGGCAGAAAGCAGTTTCTTCCTTTCTTAATGGCCCTCAGCAGATGCCAGCGCTTAAGAGATAAAGAGCTTATTGAGATCTAGGTAGCTCTATTCATTATTATTGAGATCTAGCTAGCTCTAAACAAGGTCTCTAAGCAAGGTCTAAACAAAGGATTAGACATTGGATTCACCTCAGACACAATAGGAATTGCCCAACAAGCCCCTTCATTGCATCAGCAGTCCAAACTTCAACCAAACTGAGCTCAGACAAACTCCAAGGATTTGTACATGGCCCCATGGGAGTCTGACAACAGCCAATAGAATATATGTTTTTGTTTTAGTTTACTTTATTGTCATTGCACCTTGTACAATGAAATTAAATACCACCTTCACTGTACATTATTTCTATGAATATAAACACACATCCTTCACATTCTATACATTGAATTGAAAACCCCTGATATTGCATTGATATTGCACTATATAATAGAATTCAACAGAGCTACCGCCCTGGGATAGAAGCTGTTTTTCAGCCTATTTGTCCTTGTTTTTATTATCCTGTACCGTCTGCCAGATGGTAACAGTTCAAAAAAAGGGTTCCCAGGATGAGATGGATCTTTGAGAATATTTTGAACTTTCTTAAGGCCGCAGGAGCTATAAAGCTCTTCCAAAAAGGGGAGAGGGCAACCAATGATCTTCTGGGCAATGACGTTCTTGCACAGGAACAGGAAGTTCAAGGGCAAGCACCAAGAGAAGGTATAAATACCCCCCACTCTCAACTCCAAGTGGTCAGCTGCCCAGAACCCATACGGTTCTGCTTCATCATTAAACCATCTTTCCAATCAGCCTCCATGTTTCCAGTGTCTTTCTCCCGGCTTGGAACCAAACCAGATGGATATTTTTTCCCCAACAATGATCTTTCCCTACTGAGCAACACATGCCCATCTTTGAAAACAGGCTGTTGAAATGGCGAACCCCTTTTGTTCTTAAATTTGTGTGATCTCACTCAAACCAGGCCACCCCCAGCCCAGAGATTAAACCATCTTAATCACAAAGGTTCAAACCCTC